ATTATAAATTTAAAATTTGCAATAAGATTTTATGTATTTATAAAAGAGTATAGTACTAAAAATTAAAATTTTTAAAAAGTACGGTGCTACTTGTTATTTTTTAAATATAAAAACTTAAAAATCCAAACATTCTAGCCAACAAAATACTGCTTAATTTAATCTTTTTTGAGAATATTTTGATTTTTTATTATGGTATTAAGAAATTTTTAGGGATTGTAGATACTAATATTTTTATTTTAGAGGCATATATTACACCAAATAAAAAAAAGATGACTTGTAAAAATAATATTAATTCGTAGAATCTTGATAAAAATAATTCGAAATAAATAAATATTTTTAAATTTTTGGAAACAAATGACTCGTTGGCATTTGTTGGCTGTGAATTTACAAGTTTGGCTTAGTTTGTGACTAAAATTTTTCCAACAGGAATGAGCGAAAGTGCTTCACTTCTGGCCTCAGCAATTGTGACAGGAGTGGTAGGCATAACCTCAACGTTCATATCAATGGTGGTAGTAGACAGAGTTGGCCGGAGACTCCTCCTCCTGTTGGGTGGATTCCAAATGCTTATTTCTCAAGTGATTGTGGGGAGTACAATGGCTGCTCAGCTTGGTGACCATGGAGGGATAGCAAAAGGGTATGCGTTCATGGTCATAATATTTGTTTGCATCTTTGTTGCTGGGTTTGGGTGGTCCTGGGGACCATTAGGGTGGCTGATTCCGAGCGAGATTTTCCCTCTGGAGATAAGATCGGCAGGGCAAAGTATCAACGTCGCCGTGAATTTTCTGTTCACTTTCATTGTTGCCCAGAGTTTTTTGCCGATGCTCTGCCACTTCAAGGCTGGGATTTTCTTCTTCTATGGTGGATGGGCGGCTGCAATGACCGGATTCGTGTACTTGTTCCTGCCGGAGACGAAGAACGTTCCAATCGAGCAGATGGAGAGGGTGTGGAGGATGCATTGGTTTTGGAGAAGGATTGTGGGGGAGAGAGTAGGGATGCAAACAAGTTGGAAGGAGCATAAGATTGTAATTAAAGTGCAAGACACATAAAATAATAAATTATATACATAAAATATTAAATGATATGGGTCTCACATAATTTATTATTCAATAAGATAAGGTTTATTTATATTGTAAACTTTTTAAAGTTTAACGAGGAAAATGTAATCTTTTCGTATTTTTTTAATTACCTTTGTGCTTTAGCTTTAAAGAAGGCTTTGACAGACATGAGGTCCCAATTAGATCATAGTAAATCTATATCTAAAATATTATATCAGAATTTGATTAAAAATCTGATAAAATATGTGTTTTGTACTTACATATTTGAATCGCGATAAAATATTATATCCTAAATAATAGCCTCAATCCAAATTGTTGAATTATGATATCTTTATTATTTTATATTTTAAAAAAATAATTCAAAATAAAAATAATTTTTTAAAAAATGAACTAATAATTAATTTTAGAATCCAAAATATAATATAATTATATTTGATGCATTATAAATATTGCATTTGAAACTGATTTATTAATAATATATAACAACTACATTCAATCATCAACATACATATTTTTCAATTTTGTTTTTATACAAAAATTAAAAATATGCTTCTAGTTTTTATTTTTAAGAAAAATAATTACTAATCAAAGTCTGATAAAATTAAATTTATATTATGATATATATAATATTAAGTCATAAAATATATTATTATATATTGTATGTATGTATATATACGTGTGTGTGTATGTATATTCAAATTCGAATTTTTAATAGATTTAATCAAATAAAATCAATATTCACTTAATTTATTTCAGATTACAAATTTTTATAATCGAATTATATTTATTAAATATTTTATCAGTTAAAAATATTAAATAATGCGATCGAATTTGAATTAAGATTTACCATGTTAACAACCCTATCTTTATTTACCCCTCATCCTTGGTGGGCTTTTGCCTAGGTCGTTCCTTAATTGTTGGACTTACCATTGATTGGCTTAGAAGATATTTGCTAACTTTTAAATTTTTAAGTTTTTATTCCTGACCTTCTAATTGGTGTAAATTAAAACTTTTGCAAAATACTTGCTACACAAATTTAATTTTGCATATTTAAAATTTTCTATTCCTAAGGTTTTTCCAACTTTTCTTTCTAAAATTCTCTGTAAATTTTTTACTCTCTTTAGAATTTTCTCTTCCTAATTTTTTTTAACTTTCTCTTTGATATTCTTTTTTTATAGTTTATTTCAATTATTTCTCTCTAAAATATTTAAAATTTTTATATTTAAATTATTTTCCCTAAATACAATTTAGAGAAAACTAAGACTCAAGAGGGAGGACTTTAAATTTTTGAGATTTTTTATTCTTATAAGTCCACTTAAATATCCAATAAGTCAAGCATGTCAAATAAATTGGGACATCTGAAATCTAAAAAGTTCATAAACTCATATTACCAAACACTCCCTTGCATGCGCTATGCATTATTGGATCAAAACCCCGAGAAAGCCATGTTTGGTCCCCATTGTTTTTAGTTTATACTTTCAATTTTTTAAAAGTCAACAAGTCAAAATATTACAGTGAATTCACTTCTCAGCCTTGTAATGTAAGGTGTTTGAACTAAAAAAAATTAAATATATAAATTGAAAAATCAAAGAATTTAAGAAATTTTAAATTGAAAATTTTGACAATACAAGTAAAAAAATCCAATTAGAGATTTCCTAACTTCTAAGCTCTTCCAACTTTTGTTTTTGTTTCCCTTCTTTTGGAAACTTGAAGAGCCAACCACACATAGAATTTGGAGTACCAATCGTATACATGTTGATATACTGTATATTATCTCTAATCTATAAATTTTGCAAATTTAATGGTAAGTCTTATCATACTAAGTCAAAACTTATAATATTTTTTATATGTGTATTAGATCGAAATCTGATATTAATCTAACGGTTATTAAAAATACTAATTCACAATAAAAATTTAGTATCAAATACTAGAATTCTCACAATATTGAATAGGGATAACAATAAATTAGGTTGGACCCAAATACTTTTCTTATTATTAATTTATACATCCATAAAACATTCATTAAAATAGCACAATTACTAAATATTTTTATTATTTTTCTAGTCAATATTGAGATAAAATAGTACATTTAATTTTTTAAAAAAATTAATATCTTGGGCCTAGCTTATTCTTTATTGGGCCAAACGGGTCAGATCAACACAAATTCAAATAGGCCTGAGCTAAGTTTAGGTATGTAAAAGAGTCAGATTTGGATCAAATCAGATGATCTACATCCGAATCTAATTATCAATATATATATCTAAATCCGATCCGAAATCATATAGGATTTCTATTTATTATTACCATATCCGAATCCGATAAAAATTTGAAATCTAAATAAAAAATCTAATCCGAATAACATTTAACAATAATTAAAATCAAATAACCAATAAGTAAAAGATATGTAAAATCAAATAAATTATTATTTATGAATGATAAAAGTTTATATAAGATTTATGTTTAATTATTTTGATTTTATTAAAATATAAATAAATTTTAGAAATAAATTGTTATTTATGAATGATTAAGAAGAACTTTTATTATATAATGTATTAAAAAAGTTATGATAGGATTCTAATACTTTATAAAATTATCAAGTTTTATTTATATTATAGTTAAAACATAAAAATTTTTGTAATCAGTTTATTCAAGTATTTCATGAAATTTCAAAGTAATTAATTATTAAATATAATACCTACTAGAAAAACTAAAATTAGGGAAAGTAGAAGTGTAATGACCCTAAATAGAAATATTAGGGCTTTATTAAAGTAAATTGGGGAAATTAGGGGCCAAGTGCACAAATTAACAGTTTGGGGGTAAATCTGTAAATTTGGAGGGCTTAATTGCAAGAATTAGGAGTTTTAGAGCAAAATTAGAAAGTTTGGAAAGTTCAGGGATCGATTGGGTTCATCAGGGCTGAATTGAAAAGAATAAGTGAATCAGGGATTAAATTAGAGATTGGAAGGGCCCGAGTGAATGAAATAAAAGTTTCAGGGGTTGGATTTTGACAAGATCTGAAATCTAAAGATCCACTGAGCACCAGATCTTCTCTTGTCCATATCATCATCATTGGGCACAATTTCAATTCGATTTTTAGGCAGTATTGTGCGAGGCTCAAGGACGCATCAAACCCCTCCTTTAATTTTAGAATTCGAGTGAGCTTGAGAGAGAATTGAATAGGTTTGTGGGTCGTCAGTCCATCCGTGACTGCCATGGAATTTTTGGAAGATTTCAAGCTTTTACTTGGCTTTTGATTTGATTAAAGGGTTCCTTGAGGCTCAGCTGGTTTAGTTTTGTTGTTTTTGAGTGCAAATCAGTTCTGGTATGCTTCCAAAAATCGAGCTTATGATTTGTTTGGTGTTCTGGGTCATGTTATAAACCCAGCTATGGCTTCGGGTTAGAAGTTGGGTGACAAGGACAAACCCGGATGAGATCAGGGCTCAGGTGGGGTTGGATTTAGGTTCACGCGGGTGTAGGCCCGGGCCTAACGGGCCCTAGGCTAGACTGGGCGGTTTAGGCCCAGTCCAAATGGTTTCGAACTAAGGGCAGCCAGAACGGATTAGGCCGAGTCCAAAATTCCTAGTCATTGGGCCTAAAAAAAAAAAGTTTAGGCTTGGGCCGGCCCAATTAGGCTGGACCCAAGCTGATGGGTTAAGCCACCAAGCCACTAGTCCGAGCCGGCGAGCTAAGCCGAGCCGAGCTAGTTGAAAAAAAGTGAAGGTTGATTGAATCGGCTATTGGGTTTGACCAACCAGTTCAGTGGTCAAATCAACTCAGAATTGGGAAGTTAAACCGGTTTTAGAATCAAGAAGAAAAGATCTTTTAGATTGAGTTGGTTCAAGGATTCAGGGAGGTCCGGTTCGACCAAAAAATTTGATTTTTTGAATGAACCGTCCTAGTTCAAGTTGGTTAAGGGTTCAAGAGACTGGTTCAGCCTTATTTTGGGCAATTCTTGACCAGCTCAAACCGATTCCCAGGGTTTTTGGGCCTTCTGAATTTGATTTTGAGGGTTTCATGGCTGATTCAGTTTAGTTTGAGGTAGTTTAGGCCGATTTAAACTAGTTTGAGGATTTTGGAGGCCGGTTCACTATAGTTCAGGGTTTTTGGAGGTTGGTTCTCTTTTGTTTGAGGGTTATTGAGTAAAATTGATGAGTGTTAGTGAGTCATGTGGGTCCTAGTGATGGGTAATGGTGCCTCGAGATACATGCCAGGGTGTTAAGACGCGATTTGGGCTCGATTTTGGGCTGTTGAGTACATTTCTTGTACTAGTTTTGGTGTTAGTGATGTTTTTATTTTTTTGATTTTGATTACAGATACGCCTAAAGAGGTGCACCCAAACCAGTGAATCGGGTAAGGGTGACTAGGGCTTTTTGCTTGGCTCTATTTTTGTATAGTGAGTGATGATACCTTTCATATGCATGCGTTTTTCATACTATGTTTTCTGGCATGATGATTATGTGATTTCATAAACTGTATTTGGGATATATGTTATTCTTGGGATATGTGTTATGTGTTTGTATACTATGAGTGAGCTATGTTGATACGATAATACTGGTTTTCAATATGAATTGTATATACGTATGTATACTTGTTTTTGACTTATATGTAAGAATGGTATCGTGTAATGTGTTTTAGCGATGGAAAGAGCTTGGCTAGAGTACCATAATCCGTAGCGTCCAGTGGTGAGTCGGTCTAAGTCCCTTATGAGGCGGCAGGGGCCACAGGCGACGGGGTTTGCAAATATGATGTGCACTATTATGATAAAATTGGGATTCCAAGGACTTGACTAGAGGACGGTGTGCCGTAGCGTCCAGTGCGGGTGCCTTGGGTCTGATATGAGGCAGTAGGGGCCGCGAATATGATATGATTGTCATGAGATTTGAGGATTGGATATGTTGATACCTCACATACGTGTTTTGATGTGTTAAACTACTCACTGTATATGTGTTTGTATATGTATGATTTTGGGACTGGAAATGTGACATATATCC